CTAGCAAGGTTAGTGTGGATTCCAAATAGTGGGGGAGGACTGTTTTGCAGGAAAGGCACCGGCCAACATGGCATTAGCATGAAATAGGAAGTTGAAGCCCCTTTGTAACAGGTATGTGAGGAGAAATAGATCCTAAATTAAACAGTAGAACAGAAGAAAGAACAAGTAGCAGCTGCTGGTCCAGACTACAGCATAAGAAGAACATCAGTGGCAATTGAAAGAGCATCTGTACTGGGGACTCATCAAACACCAGTGTTTTGCCATTCCTGAAGAGATGGGCTGATGACCTGAAGCACTTGTATTTTTGAGCAGGTAGCCGTGTTGCTTGGTTGGAGAGTCCTCGGCTTTCCATTTCACTCCATTAGCAGATGACTTAGCAGCGGGATTTCACACCCCCAGGAAGGGTTACTGCAATCCTGACGTAACTAGGAATTTCATAAGAGCACCACTGATAGCAGCATGTAGTCAATTCTTTCTTTGGAGGTGCTGATGTGCCCCTTCCAATGACTGGGCGACTTAGTTCATCAAGCTAAAATCTTGGACAGTGAAAAAATGTATTGATACAATGTTTAGTACAATATTTAAATAGCCAGTGTCTTTGCCAGCAAATGGGTGTGCCCCTACCAGTTGCCTGCAGTAACAGAGGCTGAGCAGTGTACTGAAGATGACATGCAGGTTGAGATGACTGCTACAGCCCAGTCCTGATAGTTCTATGAAATGGACTGAAAAATTAGCAGAGGGAAAGCCAAGAGTTGGAGGTGGATCTTTAGAGGTCATCTAAACTCTAAAGGAGCCTCTGACTTTAGGGGGTGTTTGATTTCACTGAGACCACAGCCAAAAAGCCCTGTCGCACACAACTATAGGGAAGCCATTTGCCTCAATAGTAAAACATGCCACTATAGTGTTATTCAGACAACTTAGCACCATAAAGCAACCTTGGGGGAGGGAACTGAGTATTTATCTCCAGTTTACAGAACATGAAATTGCAACAAAGAGGGTCTTGCATAGTAGCAGAGCCAGGATCAGACCTGGAAACCTGATTATTTCCATCTTGCGCTCATTCCTCCAAGCCATCTTTCTCTTCTCTTGTTTGCTTTTCAGGGCATGCACAGGTCTGCTCTTTTCAGGGAGCAGTACTGGCAACACCATGGAAATGTGATCAGAGGAGGCAGTTGCAGTGCACAGATGAATAGAAGGCAATGGTAGCCAGCCTCCTGGAAATGGGATGGACCCTGACATGGTGATGTGTGTTGAAGGCACACCCATTGTTGCACTAGACTCCTTTGTTGTAGCCTTTCTGCGAGTAGAGAGTTGAGAGAGTTGCTTCAGTTGGGGTGGTTCAGGCCTGGGGCCATCTAGGAGGTTGATAGGCATATGCCTAAAAAGTATGAGAAAGTGGAAGGGAAAGGTTGTATCATGTTTGTTGGGGACATGAATTTGTGGAGGGAAGAGCAAACGCAAGCAGTTCCTTCAATGTGGCTTTCCAGGGACATACTTGCCAGACTAGCAGAAATTATAGCTGGAAACTCTCTCTCTCTGCAGGTATTCATCCAGTTGAGAAAGAGTTCATTGGATCATTGCAACCTCACTCAGGTAGGTGACTTGATTCCCCATCTGGACATAAATGAGGGTTGGCATGGCTCTGGCAGAAGCCTTGAGAAAGTCCTGTCTAGGAAGGTTGGAGCTGAATGTTGCATGTAGTTTGTGCATTTTACCAGTTACAGCAGCATCTAGAGGCCTCAATGAGAGGCTAATGTATTGTTTCCTGCATTGTGTGTATAGGAACATCAGATCTTCAGGAACTGTGCAAGTATGGACTCTATATAGCATGAGAGGCTGAATGATTGAAAAGGATCTTGTTCCAGCATACAGCAGGTTCCTTGTCAGTCTTCCATACATGTGAACATGTTCTTACAAGTGCCCTAGTAATGCTTCACTCTGACAAGAAGGGAGTTCCCCAGCCTGTAGGTATGGCGCTGGTTCTTCCTCCCCAGGTGCAGCACCTTGCACTTGTCAGTGTTGAATCCCATCCAATTCTTGTCCGCCCACCCCTGTAACCTGTCTAGGTCCAATGAAGTCACTGTCTAGTCACTGATGAAGATGTTGAACAGTGTGGGCCATCATCTTCATCAGTGACTTGGATGAGGGGGTAAAAAGCACCCGGTTCAAATTTGCTGACAACACTAAGATGTGGGGGGATGTGGTCACGCTAGACAGGAGGAATAGGCTGCAGTCAGACCTAGACAGGTTACAGGGGTGGATGGATGAGAACAGGATGGGTTTCAACACTGACAAGTGCAAGGTGCTGCACCTGGGGGGAGGAAGAACCAGCAGCATACCTACAGGCTGGGGAACTCCCTTCTTGGCAGTGCAGAGACAGAAAAGGATCTTGGAGTCATCACTGATGCCAAAATGAACATGGCCCGGCAGTGTGGGGACATGGTCAGGAAGGCCAACCACATCTTGTCATGCATCCACAGATGCATCTCAAGCAGGTCCAAGGAGGTGATCCTCCCCCTCTATGCAACACTGGTCAGGCCGCAGCTGGAGTACTGCGTC